ATATATATACATATATGTATGTATATATATACATATACATATATATACATATATGTATATACATATATATATATACATATACATATATATACATATATATATATATACATATACATATACATATATATATAAGCATAGAGAGTAATTACACTAATAATAATAATAATAATAATGATAATAATAATAGTGATAGTAATAAGTTTAAAGTGAAAAATAATATTTTCATTAAAATATAAAATACAAACATAGTAATAATCGTCTAAACACAAACATAACTACATACATCGTTTCTGATCTAATACAATCTTTAATTCTATTCATATATTTCATATATATATATATATATTTAATTAATAAATGGTTTATGCTAAGCAATCATTCCTTATAAATATTAACAGTTAAATTATTTTCGTTTTCTTTCTTTTTTTAACTTTCAGATATTTTTTTTTGATTTCGATTTTAAAAAAACATACAAGAAATTAAATATTTAAAAACATTCAAAAGCTTAGACTAAATAGATATTTCCATATATCTGTTTTTCTGATTTTGTTTTTTTGTTTTTTTTTTTGTTTTGTTTTTTACAATTCTGTCTCATGTGCAGAGAAATATACAAGAAAGTTTAAAATTAAATTATTTGTTTTCTTTTTTTTTTTTTTTTTACTTTTTAAAAGTTCAATAACACATTTTTATAAAAACCGAGTTTTATTTTTTATTTATTTTTTTTTGTCATTTTATCTACAATTTATTTTATACTTTATTATACGTAGCTACTTTTCTTTAGTTCTTATTGTTGCTGTTGGCTTTTCTTTTCTTTTTTCTGTATATTTACCATTGGAAAGAAGTGCAAAATGTCGGCAATGATCCACACTTTCGTAGGCGTGTTGCATTTCGTATTTCGTTCCTTTTCTTTATCGTTTTTCTAGTGCGAAAGGACGTGAAAATAGAGGGAAATAATTTCGCATATGTCCATCAAAGCGCAAATATCCTCCTTTAGTAGCATCACAGTCAGTGCTTTAAAGCCAAGTACCGTATTAATCTATATGTATATAAACACATACATGTATATATATATATATATATATATATATCTATATATATATATATATATATCTATATATATATATAT